TGGTAGATGATATAACCCGAACTGTTCTAGTAGGTGGATAGAATACTAGATCATGGAAATGACCGGTAGTATTGATACAGCGGATCAAGAGATACTGACAAGCAGAGTCAACAAAGTGTCAACAGGAAGTTCACGTATTTACCAGACTCACTGAGGTATATCGGTTTCGTTGGTTCCAGCTTAGTGGTGATTGGCTGGACAGTTGTATGGTCTGATTGGATGACAGCACTCCATGTTGGGTTGGGCCCGTATACGACACCTCCCTCTTCTTTTGACAAGTCTGCCTGTAGTTGCCAACCGTTGGGTATAGATGAAACGATCGGGTGGTCGGCGGTTGCGTACGGGGCGTCTGTGAACCGCATCCAAATCTGACATCAACGCTTGGCTTTCGGTTTCCACTCTATCCGAATTTGCATTTGTCGGTTTCGGCAACGAGAACTCCTCCAGTAATAACTGAAAATCAAACTGGGAATTGTGATGAGGTAACTACTGATTGTTATCAGAGCGGTGTCTGAGCTGATTTATATGCCTGTGTCATGTCTGACCGTTGACCTCTACTAGGTACGTGACTCGACCAATCCGTCTGGTGATTACACCTGGCGTCCATCTGTTTTGCGACGGCCGGAAGTCTCTTGTCCATACCAAGTCACCTGGTTTTAATGTTCTCGCTATTACGTGCTGTTTGGGTTGCGCAGATTCTGTTGTTTCCGGCTTGGCTAATTCTCTCACCTCCGGAACGATTATGTCCCAAATTGACCCGATCTGACGGTTAAATAACATTTCCGACGGTGACCTTCCGTTACAAGAGGGGTGTGGTGTGATTCGATACATCATTAGGCATGTGTGTATGCAATCGTCCTTCGCCTCACCCTTTGATAAGTGCACGCTTGAACGTGTCGACGAATCGCTCAACCTGACCATTCGATTGCGGGTGAAAGGGGTGTGTGTGCGTATGTGTGCCACCCCATTGGAACGACAAAATGTTGCGAATTCTTCGCTAGTAAATTGTGGGCCATTATCGCTAACTAATGTCTCCGGCATTCCGAATCGGCTGAATATTTGATGCAACTGTCTAATTGTTGCGACTGCAGTGGTCGTCGGCATTGTTACTACTTCTGGCCATTTACTATGAGCGTCAATCACGATGAGATAAGATTTACCATCTACTGGGCCGGCGAAATCTACATGTACTCTTGACCACGGCGTAGTCGCTGCTGTCCATGGCACAGTTTCCAATTTGTTTGGTGATTTTTGCGTGACCGCACAGTTTTCACACCGCCTACACAGGTGTGAGATATCATCATCCATCCCTGGCCAATACACGTAACTTCTAGCTAATGCTTTGGTGCGGGTGATTCCTTGATGGCCTTTGTGAAGTTGGGTGAGAATGGGCCGTTGTAAAGCTGAGGGAACAACTACACGTTCAGCGAAAAGCAAACACGAGTCAACGATTGATAAGCTGTTTTGACACCGGTGATAGGGGATGAGTTCTGCATCTGATACCCTCGATGGCCAACCTTCTTTCACGGGCTTCATCACCTTACGTAGTACGGCATCCTGCGATGTGTGCTGTTGGATGGATTTTAGCGAGACTGGTAGGGATTTCGCGGTGTCGAGAATTACCCGATTGATTTCCCGATCCACTTTAACACTAGCAATCACTGTCTCGTTGTTGTCTGCTGGATGATCCGCAATTAACCGAGACAACACATCGGCTTGCCCAAAACCTGTGATCGATTGGTAATGGATGCTAAAACCGTAGGCCAGTAAGGATAGAGCCCATCTCTGTAGACGGCTGGCTGTAGTTGCCGGGATACCTTTATGTGAACCAAATATGGTCAGCAACGGTTTGTGATCCGTCAGTAACTTGAAACGTCTACCAAATAGCATATTGTGAAATTTATTGACAGCAAATATGATAGCCAGGCCTTCCTTTTCAACTTGGGAATAGTTTTTCTCCGCTGATGTTAACGACCGTGCCACGTGGATAACTGCTTTCTCAGAACCGTCTGGGAAAGTGTGGGACAACACAGCTCCGATGCCATAGTTGCTTGCATCGGCAGCTACCACGACTGGAAGTTTGGGATGGTAATGCGTGAGAAAGAGATCGGAAGTCAGCATATCTTTAATCCGATCTACCGCTGCTTGACACTCTGCTGACCAAGTAAACTTGACCTCTTTCATGAGTAATGCGTTTAGAGGTGCGCGCAGTTGATGCATTTCCGGGAGAAAATAACAATAGTGGCTAACCATGCCAAGAAAAGAGCGTAGCGTACTGACGTCTGTTGGTGCCGGCATGTTAACAATAGCTGAAATATTGGCTGGGTCGGGACGACGTCCATTCTGATCAATAATGAACCCCAGACATTTAAGTTGTGGCAAAAGTAAGCTGCATTTGTCTGGTCGCAAGCGTAATCTGTACTCATTTATACGATCCAAAACTTGGTCGAGCCTCACTGCTAGCTCTTCTGGACTTGTTCCGACCACTAAGATATCATCTAAGTAAGATGCAACGCCGTCAATGCCCGTGAGCATGGTATCCATAACCTGCTGGAAAATAGTTGGTGCTGTTTTAACCCCGAATGGCAATCGGTTAAACTGAGACAAACCACGGTGTGTGTTAATTGTCAACAATTCCTTTGCCTCATCGTCAATGGCAATTTGTAGATATGCATAAGCTAGGTCAAGTTTGGCAAACAGTTTACCACCTGAAAGTTTGGCAAAAATGTCTTCTGGGACTGGTAGTGGATAACTGTGTGTCTGAAGGTCGTCATTGAGACCTGTTGAAAAATCTGCACACACACGAATTGAGCCATTGGCCTTTCCTACCACTACGATTGGAGCAGCCCATTCCGAGTAATCGACTGGTTGTAGGACATTTGCTAGCTTAGGCCATCCAGCTCTAGCTCTACACTGGTTAATGCAGAATAAGGCACCGGACGTTTAGGACGAAAAGCGGGTTTAACAACTGCTCTCAGCTGCAATTGAGCCTTCATTTTGCTACAAAGACCAAGTCCTTCCTGGAAAACTAGTGCATATCGCTGAAATAACCGTTGTGGAATGGACTGCTGTAGTCCTGTATCGATTATTACGGGAGGAATGCTGATGCCCAGTGTCAGTTTGCAGACTTTATCAAACGGAATAATCCAAAGATTGAAATTATCTAACCAGTCAATGCCGAGAATATTCAATCCTGGTTGGTTAGTGAGGAAGCATATAGACTCAAATTTTTGACCATTATAAGATACCAAGCAACGTAACTCACCAACCAAACCGAATGTTGTTCCGGATGCACTGAGGGCTGTCTGTTGAGTGGGCATAACTGGAGGACGTCCGATGGATTCCCAAATCGTTTGCGAAATAATCGTGATGTCCGATCCTGTGTCTACCTGGAGAGTCACGGGATACCCGTTTACACTCACTGTTAGATAGCGTCTTCGTGATGTCGCGTTGACTTGATAGCTAGCAACAACGCTGCGACTAGCCTTCTGCGGTGGTTTCGGAAACCCTTTGTTGGAATTGTCAGCTTTAGTTGAGTTGCGTGGCTTGCAGAAACCATCTTTGTGACCAAAGCGTTGACACTGGTTGCACCGATGTCGGCGAAAAGTGCACTGTGAGGCGTAGTGCCATGCGCCACAGTTCCAACATGCTGTTGGTGGCATTTTGGACTCCTGTTTGTGTGCTCTGACCGGTCTGACATCTGCCATGTTTATCTACTGCTGTTCCACCATACGGGAATCATGCTTCAAATTGATCAGGCGCTGACATTCCTCAGCCATTTTCTGCAACGTTATGTCTGGGTCTTGCTCCAGTCTGGTGAGAAGACGTGTGCGGATGTCCGCGTCTGACGGAGATGGTAGACCACAAATAAACATGAGACACTTGAACTGTGTCTCGGTCATGGATGCAACTTTAAAACGCTCACACTCGCGGTTAACGATACCTGCGTAGGTAATGTAGTCGTCCATGGAGTGCTTGACGAGTTTTAAGTAATGATAACGTGTGCTGAAGAGCGAGGAACGTTCGCCAAAAATCTGTGTGAGGCACTGAACCGTGTCATCAAAAGTAAATTCTCGTGGGTGTTTGGGCAAAATATAGTTTACGAAACGATCATGCTCCGTGATCCCCAACTTACGAAGCAGTGTTCGTGATCGCCATGAATCCTACTTCCTACAGAACTCAACACGAAAAATGTCCTCATAGCGCTTGAACCAGGAATCATAAGTAACACCCGATGCAACGTCATGCTGGAAAATCTGAATTGTAGAAACAATTGATTCAATGTTGGTATGTTCATCCTGCGGTGCCTTGGCCTTGGAAACCAGGGAGAGGTTACGCGTTAGAGTATCGAGTAAACGGAGCTGAGCGGCCTCGAACTGCGACTGATGTTGTTGAAGGATTGCACGGAGATCGTCTGCTGAAATCGCCATTTTACTTACCATTTCCGTCGCCAGTTGATATAACCCGAACTGTTCTAGTAGGTGGATAGAATACTAGATCGTGGAAATGACCGGTAGTATTGATACAGCGGATCAAGAGATACTGACAAGCAGAGTCAACATAGTGTCAACAGGTAGTTCATGTGTTTACCAGATTCACTGGGGTATATCGGTTTCGTTGGTTCCAGCTTAGTGGTGATTGGCTGGACAGTTGTATGGTCTGATTGGATGACAGCATTCCATGTTGGGTTGGGCCCGTATACGACAGTTCTCGTAGCAAATTGCTAATCCAAGGTCCTTTTCCAAGGTTACCTTTCTGAGCAGGAAGCCCCCAATGTGATAAACACCAAAGCGGTCCGCGCACCAGTTCAGAGGACGGAACCCCTATCATGGTTAATGGATAGCTGCCACTCCATTAAACAGCAGTACAACCGGACCAGCGTTGTCTGTAGCAGGTCGGCATTATCAAGTTTGGACACCTGCAGCCACAGTATATATTAGGCAATCAGTTTGGAGCTCAGATTGAAGATCATTGTTGTAGGTTTTGAGGTGCCAGGACCAAGGACATGGCCCTGTGGGACCCCGCTGATCATCCAAATAATATTGGAGTAGACATCGTTCACTTTGACTCGCATGCTTCGGTCATTCAGGAAGTCAGCGACCCAGGAGTGAATCTTCTCAGAATCGCCAATTCCACGGAGTTTGAGAAGGAAACGTCCTTGAAGCACTTTTTCAAATGCCCTGCTGAAGTCTACGAAAACGACATCCATACGATCACCGGCCTCCAGCGATCTCGTCCATTTTCTCTGGCAACAAGCAAGTTAGAGACACAGGAACGTGCCTTTCGAAAATCACATTGAGCGCATGAGAAGATACGCAAGTTCTCCAGCTGAAGATTTAGAGCCGATAGTTTGGAAGATCCTGACGATCCCCTTCCTGGTGTATGGGTCTTACAGTAGCCAGTTTCCAAGCTCTCAGAACGCGTCCGACGTCTAAGGAGCGCCGAAAAACTTGGCAAACTGGAGAAGCGATGTGCTGAGCCACTGTCTTGAAGAACAAAGGGTACAAACCATCCGGACCCGGTGAAGAGTTCAGATTTAATCCAAGAAGGAGTCACATAACCAAGTCTTTACTGAGCTCATTGTGCTCTAGGGTAGAGGAGTTAGTTAACACAAAGTCACTGGATAATGGGGCTTAGATGGAAAAGCAGAGGAATACTGCAAAGCCAGGAGATCAGCTTTGGTATCATCCTGATACAGAACATATACTTCTTGCTAGAATAGGGGGGTAGGTATCCCACACCCAGTTTTGTACTCCTTTTCAGATACGAGAACAGTAGTTTGGGAGTGCTATTAGATTTTTCTGCTAAACAAAGTTCTACTGTTGCCTCTTCTCGCGTTTCGTTTGTGTGCAGAGATTCGTAACCGTCTTATAGTTCGAGTAGTCTCAAGCCGATGTTGTAGACTTTAGCTGTCCCATAATCTGCATCTTTTGTTCAAAGGAATCCGTATCTTATGCTCCATCTAAGGAGGGCCCTTGGAAAACTACTTCCTTTTACAGAGAGGGACTAGTTGACCGATGGGCGAGATCATTTTTGAGTGTAAGATGCCACAGGCATAGTCAGCGTTTAGGTCCTCGGGAATGCTCCAATCTAGAGTACTTGCAGCAAGCCTCAGACGATGTGGGTTCGCACACCCGAAGTTCCGATGGTACACACCCTGGTCATGAACGGCGAGACGGCGTGTCCATTCAAGCGAAACCACACAATGATCCCTTCTGTCACTAAGTTGTAGTACAGTCAGCGAAGAGACAACTGAGTAGACCGGTGAGAGTACGGTGTCCAAGATGTGTGAAGCCTGTCCTGGATTTATTCTAGTGGGCGCTACAACATTTTGGAGCAGATGACAACCAAGCATCGTTTCGACGAGGAGAAAATCGAAAGAATCCGGAGAGAGGTTACAATGGAGCAGATACCAGCCGATAGCAGCACCATTAAAGTCCCCCATTATGAGACAGTCTCTACTCCTGCCGTGCTTTTCTATCGACTCTAGTAAGCAAATTCCGGACCCCATGGTTGGCGTCATCCGCTTTCTGATTTGCCCGTCACTGTGACCAGCCACAAGACGCCTGCGCCTACAGAGAGACGATGGGTGGCTTGCGCTGCACCACCCACACCTCAAACCACACACCCCATATCCAGTGTAAACCCGAAGGAATATAACCGGGAGGCATGTGGATGAGGGCCAAGTTTCATCAACGGAGCCGGCCCACACTCCTTCACAGGCAAACACAAGCACGCTGTATTTGAGCATCAAGCGTACACAAGGCGGTGGCTGGACCGTAGTCCGCTCCACACTGAGTGCATGGAACCACTCTTCGAGCCTAGCACGGCCACAAGAACCGTGCACCACGTCCCCTTCAGCAATGACCGACTGTCTCCTGGAGTCAGTA